ATTCTTCTGCTGGTCCCAGCAATGAAGGACACTGGGCTTTGGGACCCGCATGGTGATCACCGACAAAGTGAAAAAGATATTACAAGGATTAAAGATTATATCCAGTCTAGAGCTGGAACATTTCTTAACTCTGAAGTGGAGAAAACCCGGGGTTTTGAAATGGATTCACACGAGGGTGCGAGGCAGCCAGCTGCGGCTCTCTTCACCCCCACGAGAGAAGAAGAAATGGGCTCAGAGACGTTCTCACAGTCCGCAGAGTTTAAAAGTAGCTGAGCTGAAATTTGAACCCGGCTCTGTCCTCTTCAAGGCCCCCCTGCTCACGCTCTGAGGCCTCTTCCCAGCAGCTTCCCACCATACACAAGGCTCATAGTCTCTCTTCAGAAGAGCCAAAAAGCAGATGTTTTTATTTTAAAAATTATGCTACTTTAGGAAGCAAAACCCGAGGGCTGCGTATGTACCAAGAGTGTTAGTGTTGGGATCAAAGCATTACATTGATAAGTATTCAGTGATATGCACAGCGATTATTTGCTGAGAAAATTAGTCATTGTGCCTGGGAAATCAGGTATAAATGGTTAGTAATTCATTTATTCCTTTTACAAAGACAAGATTGAACAAAATGGTTTCTTTTTACTTTCTTGGGCTTTACAGAGTTTTAATCAAGGTCAGTATCCATAATTTTGATTCATTTTAATTCTACTCTCCTACGCTATATTCCACTCCTCCCTGCCCCTTACCAGAACACCACCCATTAGAGAGACAGTTAGGGCCACGGACTCAACCCTTTGTGTGGTTGGCATTACCTGTGACCCACCTCTCCCCTGCTCTGCCCCAGTGAGGCGTCCTGGGTTCCCCCGCTGGAACCCCCACCCCAGCACACCCGACTCCATCCTCTGCCCATCCTGACACATCTCTGCTTGGTCCAGCATCCAGCATCTAGCAGATGTTCAAGCCCCCACGGCCCTGCTGGAACTCCTGGAGATGACAGCATGGTCCTCACACCAACATGCGGTGAGGCACAGAAGCTGCGGGTGTGGACTTGGGGGGACCTCTGAAATCCACCCTGCTCCTTTCTCAGAGAATGGAACAAGGCCTAAGGAAACAGTAAGATCAAAACAGAGGGGGCCTAGAACTGAGATCTCCTGTCTTCTCACCCCGACTGCCCCCACTGCCCCGTAAGGTGTAAAAGAGAAACATAGTTACCTATTGACAGATTACTCGTACTCCTCTTTCAAAAAGGCATTACCAGCAGCTTCCAATAAAAGATGAACGTTTTCTATAATTTTAGCAAGGTAAAGATAATAAGAAGCATATATTTAAGGGAGCAGCTGGGGATTTCTGATATCAAAGAGGCTTCCTGGGAGGGCCGTACTAAATCTAAATACTTCTATTTAGTTCTGAGTTTTCTGGAGGCCAAGTTGAAAATGGAAACACACTGAATTACAGAGCACTCATTATCTAATAAAAGAAAGCGTTTGAGGTTTACCATAAAAACTTTATCCAAAGGTTAAATTTAAGTGAAATTATCAGCTATGTTATTATAAAAGATATGGGACAATTCTTGATAGAGCTAAATCTTAGTTCCGCCTAATGCTGCATTTCTTTGGAAACCTAAAGTACTAGGGTCCAGGTTTGTACATTTATTGTAACTTGATTCAGGATAGAGCTTAAAGTCATTAAAGCAATAGTTCTCAAATATTAATATGCAAATAACTTAACTAGGAAGGTTTTATTTAATGCAGATTCACACCCTGGCTGTGTGGCTCAGTTGGTTGAAGCATCATCTGGTACACAAAAAGGCTGTGGATTCAAATTCTGGTCAGAGTACATACCTAAGTTGCAGGTTTCATCCCCAGTCAGGGCTCGTACTAGAGGCAACTGATTGATGTTTGTCTCTTACATCAATGTTTCTCTCTCCCTCTTTCTTCCACTCCCTCTAAAATCAATAAACATACTCTAATGTGAGGATAAAAATAAATAAACAAAGTGCAGATTCACCGCTTTCCCTCACCTCTCACCCCTAACTCTGCATATCAGGGAGAGAGCCTCAATCCTGCATTACTAACAAGCTCCAGTGCCGATGGAGGCTGGTGGAGCACATTTTGAGATACACCAATTGAGAAGAACAGATTGTTTCTATGCTGCTTCGCTTTGATCAGCCCCTTCAAATAGGAATGTTCTCCACTTAGTTACAGATCACAGCCAACCACCCGAGACTGCTGTCTCCGGGGAGGCAGAGCCAGTGCACAGGCTGTGGCTGCTGAGACTCCCATGCTCTCTATACCAGCGCACGGGGAGTGAAGGTGGGGTCTGCTCACCAAACCCAAAGCGTGAGGAGTGAGGGGCCATGGAAGGGGCCAGGAGAAGAGGAAGAGGAGCTGGCATAGAGCCAGGCTGGGGAGTCCCCAGCTCACCTGCGTTGCTTTGCCGTTTTCTGAGACCCAGTTGTCCACAGGGGAATCTGTGGCTGGACTTGCTGCCTTTGCCTACAGTTCACGGGGAAGTCCACTCCGAATCAGAGAGTTGGGGCTGAGGCAGGGGTCCATGGATTCCTAAGGATTCATGGGTGGCCTTCAGGAGTCCTGAACCCCCTGAAATCATACACAGATATTTTGTGCGTATATGCATATGTGTGTGTTTGTGAAAGAGATTCCAATGACAACTTTCATTGGATTCTCAAAGGGACCATACATGATCCCAAAGAGCTGCTAACTGCTGAGTTCCTGGTGCAGCCGAGGCCTTGAGCGCCATGTTCATACTGGGGTGTGCTCCCAGCACGCTGCAGCCTGATGTCAGCTACTGACAACTTCCTTGGTGGTAGCGAGGTCACAAAGTGTCCCTCCACAGGAGCCACCCTCCCTGCCCAGTCTGGGGATTATGGTGGCAAAGTTGTCAGGCTTAATTTTGACAAACCGTGTTGGGCAATTAGTCCCCTTTAATTGCTCATGGAAATAGTAATTTTAGGTGACAAGATTATTATGGGCTGCTTGCTAATGGGGCCCCTAGGGTCAAGAAAACACCACTGAGACTGCTGTGACCTGTTCTTTTCCATCTTTGGCATCACCCTCGAAATCTCCAGAGAAGATGTTCAGTCAGCTCCCACTCCGTGCCAAGTACGGAGCAGGGGTTTCCTTTTATCCTTCTTCCCAGGGAAGGATTAAAGGAAAACTTGCAATATTTCCCCTCTCCACTAGCCCAGGCCAGGCTTCGCAGACTTGCTGATCATTGACTTGAAAAGCGGGGGACGTTTCTAGCCCTTCCATTTGTTTGTTTACCTGTTTTGCCAACTTGCTTTACAACCAAGTTCTGAATAAATAGAGCCCTAGATGATGAAATATTTGGCTTAACTCACGTTGAATATTTTCATTCCTTTTCCCTTCACTAAACATGAAGGTTCGTTTGACCAGCAGGTCAGGGCAGATCTGCCTAATGTTTGCCATGTGCCCGCTCAGGTGATAGGAGGGTGGAAAGGAGAGAACTCTTCTGAGTAGTTTAGGAAGCTGGGAATTTGTTGGGTATTTACTAACTGTCCATACTGGGCCATTTGTCTGACCTCCCCAAACCCTCATTTCATCATCTGTCAAAAGGGGATAAAAAATAATAGCTAGCTCATGGTACAGCTATGAGGACAGCAAGAACAAAACCAAACTGAAAAGATAGCATCTATTACAAATACAATTCATTCCTCCTTCCCAAATCCAGATCTCATAAAGAAGTCTGAAATAGTGGAGAGGTTAAAGAAATGAATATTACCCTCCAGCCCAGCTTTATCTCCAGCCCTCAAAGCTTGTTAATGTAGCCACATCGCATCCCATAAACCCTGAAATCCTTTTTCAAATGCTGCGGGTGAAGATAGAGATTGTTACACTATCAGTTCAGACTGCTGGACTCTGATTCCATTGTGCATGACCACATTCCTCGAAATCAAAGATTTCATGTAAAACTGACAATAAAGAGTTTGTAGGAGACCCACCTTTTCTCTCTGGATCTTGATGAAACAAACCAAAGACACTGCCATCATGGTGACTTTTCAAAAATGAGTTACAATTTTTTTTTTTTTTTTTTTAGCAAAAGAGTCTGTTCTTTTCCCCTATGTTTGCATCTATTATAGGATGTTATTCCCATTCTTTAGAAACTAAATGCCAATAAATTTGTTCCTTCATGGAGTTGATTCTTATACTTAAGTATTTCATTTAATTTCTCCTCTCAGATTTCATGAGGGTCAATACTCCTCTTTGGTGGCATTTCCTGAGGTCAGCATTCATATATTTGCAGGGATGGGGAACCTTTTTTCTGCCAAGGGCCATTTGGATATTTACAACATCATTCGAGGACAATACAAAATTATTAACTTAAAAGTTAGCCCTCTATATTTGTTCAGGCTAATTTGGTGAGGTGTGTGGTGTTAGCTGGTATTGATTTCACGGGCCTTATAGGTCCACGGGCCGGTCCGCAGCAGGCAAACAATACATCGCACCAAGGAGTACAATGTCAGTCACCTAGGAATAATGGCAGCTCTCCGGTTGTATCAGGCAAGAAGAGCCTTGTCTAACTGGAAATAAGATAGACAGCTGCTGGTTTGTGTGTCTTGAATGGCAAGGATCTCTTCTTGTTCTTGACCTGAACACAAAGCTCTCCCTAATCCAGCCAATTGTGGGGGAAAGGAGAACAGAGAGAGCCTGAAATTATTTCCATTCACTTATTTAGATGGAGTGTTTGGTGAGAGTCCATGGATATATGAGTTATACAGAAGGCTAGCGTGTTCCCTGGGTTGCATGTATGTGACAGGGAAAATATCACATAATCATGTGCTAGGGACATTGGGATGTTTAGCTAACATTTCTATACAAAAGATAAGCTGCCCTGGCCAGTTTGGCTCAGTGATTGGAGCATCGGCCTATGGACCAGAGAATCCCGGGTTCGGTTCCCGCTAGGGGCATGTACAAAAAAAAAAAAAAAAAAAAAAGATAAACCATCTGCTCAGTAATGGTGTTGTTTTCTAGCTGCTGTGGTCTGTGTGACACCTCTGGACAGACTTGAATGTGACCAGATCAACTTGCCCCATGGTGTTCTGGTGGGGTACCAGCAACAGCCTCAGCTCCTCAGCTCCCGCTTCATCAAACAGCGGCTTGGATTGTGTGACCGACATCATAACTGGGCAGCTCAGTTCTTCCCTGCAGGTGTGTAGTTCAAGTTGCAATGTTGATGTTACACATTATTTGTGGCATTTTCATCTAGTTCTCATCCAGGTGCTCAAATCATTACAGAATGATTCTGTAAAACCCCTTTCTCCTAAGAAATTAATTTATCCTATAAGAATTTCATACAGTTATTAAATTGAATTCAAATTTTGTTTTAGAACTCAGTCTAATAATTAAACATTTAAAACTCCTGGGCTGTGACATTTGGAGTTTCATATGCAGCATTAATGAAGCTCACATCAAAATAGATCAGCCATGGGTTACCAGTCACTGTTTCAAAACCAGTCCAGAAATTCATGTTAGAATGGTGTCAGGCACTTTAGGTGTTGGACAAGTGACAGAAATTGATCATATGCTTTCAAAATATTTACTGAAAAAAGTGTCAGTGTGACATAGGTCTATATTAAAAAGCAACCCTTTGGGAAATATGATCATACTTCTTTGTTGCCCCTACATGGTCTCAGTGCACCACAGAGTAGGATGAGAGGCTTATGTTTGCCTATGTTTGTGGATTTTATCTTGAAATATAATCACATGTTTATTTTCAAAGGAAAACCCTCAGTAATGCAAAGAGAGATTCTCATTTTTCTTCAGAAATCACAAATCATTGGATCACCATCTAGCAATTATTTTTTCTTTTAGGAAAATGTATTTTGAGGAGGCTATATATTTTATTTTATTTTTATATTTACCTAAGAAGCTGAGGAATTAGTAACCATGGAATTTAGACTTGAGTTCAGAATGTCAAGGTCATCCTTTTGTGTGACTTTGACGAGGACTTGCCCACACCCTGCCCACCCTTCTATTCAGTTAGACTCTCTGGGAGGCACGGTGTCGGTGTCACATTGAGGGAGCACCATGCTCTCTGAGTTGGTGCTGCCCAGGGGGTTCTTCTAATGCCGACACACTTAGGAGGTGGGAGGTGGGTGGAGGAGGGCTTGCAATCTTGTATAGTAAGTCACATTATGTACATATATGTATATGGCTGCAAAAGTAAAGTTTAATTTCAACCAGATGGAGATTATTTGCATCCTTTTAATCAATGACAATGAACAGTCCCCTGAGAGATGTATCAGTTTGACTACTTCTTTTGGCAATAGATATGCTCAGAAGGCGATTTTTAAGGTACCCCAATAACTGACCAAAGATCAGAACTAAAAAGTAAAGTAGAATAACATTGGCATCGGTAGTGGGGTATCCATTTGTCGCATATCTTTTAAGACCAGGTGAGAATCACCTCAGAACGCTCGCCATAGGCTTTCAGACCCCATAAGTTTGAACTTCTTTCTTATCTGCTCCTAGAACATCTTCTATATTTTCTGTTTTATTTTATTTTTAATTGTATTTATTGGGGTGGCATTGGTTAATAAAATTTTATAGGTTGCAGGCATACAATTCTATAATACATCATCTGTTTGTTTTCTGTTTTATTGAGAGAAGAGGAGGCCATGGGAGCAACAGAAGAATGAAATACTTGCAGTTAATCGTCCTGTCGACTCCTGCCAGGGAGTGTGTGCCTGTGCATTGCATCTGCGTTTGTTTGTAAGTGTGTGTGTTTTCCCCACTAGTACTCTCTGTCTCTGTAGATGGTATCAGCTGCACAAGCCAGAAACCTGGGAGACCTCTCTGACGATACTGTCTCCTTTTCTGCTCCAATCCATTTGCCAAGACCTATTAATTGATTATCCTAAATATTTCCTCATTTGTTCATCGTCAGGAAGTCTTCCTGGTCCTCAAACAAGATTGCTCCCAGCCAGTCATGGCCTCCCACCGTGCCCTCTAGTGCCTCGTTAACGGACTAATCCCAGCTTGCACTTCGGTCGCCATTGGGGTCACTTAATTCATGGGCAGTGCCTAGACTATGAGGTTCATGAAGGCCAAGATTGTACCTGTTTTATTTACTGCTATATCCCAAGCATCCAAAACAGTGCCTGTCACACACCAGATGCTCCATAAATATTTGTTAAATGAAGAATGAACCCTCTTCACAGCATTCCCTCATGAACTCTCACCGCAGTGCCCCTAGTCTTTGCAAGGCTCGTCCCTTCCTTACTCAGCCCCTTGTCAGCACAGCCCCCCTGCTGTCCCTTCCTCTACAGCTCACTTTATGCGGAGAAGTCCTCTGTGCCACCAGTGTAGAGCTGTGGCAATATCAAGAAGTCAATCCCCAAATTCACCTCCTTCACCAAAATCTCCAAGCTTATTTTCTTCTTAGCCCATCAGACCTTCCCGTCTTGGTCCTTTAGAACTCGGGTTGCACTAGGAAGACATCAGTTCGTTCTCATTCATATGTTGCATTGAGAACACGCGTCCTTTTTCATGTACTTGGGTTATCATTGCCCAGCTTGTCTTTATTTGGGAGCCCCAAGTCTCCTCTCCACCCCGAGACTGTCACTGAATGTGTCCTCTGTGGGCATTCACTGACTGCTCACCTCGCCTGCCCGAAGCTGGGCACCCCCGCCCACCTCACCTCTACCCCCGTCTCCACTTGTCCAGTCTTCTCCTTGAACACCCTCAGGAAGCAGATGTGCTTGCAAATCTCTCTTCTGGTTATTTCTGTGTTTGGTGCATTTTTTGTGGCTTTTTTCTTTGTTCATTAATTCATTATAAAAACATATCCTTCCTTCTTCTCCAAAAGAATTGGAAACAGTCGACCAGGATAAATATAAGCACAAGGTAGTATAATTAAGGATAAGTGGGAAAGAAAAAGGAAAAGCAAAAGGAAGGGGCATCATGGGCACAAAGCCTGAAGCCGTTACCCAGGTGTATCTGATCGTCTGTGCACTGGGAGAAGGTCCTGGATTGCCTTCAGGCTAGCTAGTGGTTGCTTCGTAAAGAGAAAAAATGTACCGTGCCTTTAAGATAAGACGTGAAGTACTGATCAGGAGGAGAACAACTAGTCTTCATTCTAAGAGGCGACATAGTAGTTTAGTGATGAGCGTGGGCCTGCGGCCTGCTGCCTGGATATGGAGGGATGGGGGGGGGGGGTGCCCTGCAGTGCGTTTCCTCGGGCTGTGACTCTCTCCTCCAGTGACACTGGTATCATCAGGGAAGACTCTGAAAACACCAGCTGGGCCCCCACCTCAGACCCACTGTAAATAAGAGTCTGGCAGTGGGCCTGGAAAACCCTGCAGAAAAATGTTCCCTAGTGATTTGCAGCCTAGGTCGAGAGTCGCAGATTTAGAAGAAGGGATGATCTGTGAATCCGGCTGACACGCCTCCAGCTGAACTTCTAAGTCTTTAGACTGTTTCTCCACTGAAATAGTTACATAAAGAGCAAGCCCTTCTACTTAAATCTTACTCCTCGACATCAGGAACAGCAGATGGATGGATGGATAGATAGATATAGATATAGATATAGATATAGATATAGATATAGATATAGATATAGATATAATTGAGGTATACTTGACAAATAAAATTGTATATATTTAAAGGTTACAATGTGATGATTTTATATTCATATACATTGTGAAATGATTACCACAAACAAGTTAATTGACACATCTACCACCTCACATAGCTACCTTTTTCTCAATAACCAAGGTATGAAACAACTTAATTATCTGTTGATGAAAAAAATGGGTAAAGAAAATATCATACATGTATCATACATATATAATAGAATATTATTCAGCCATAAATAAAATAAAATTTGTAACAACATGGAGGGCATTATGCTATCTAAAACAGGCCATTCAGAGAAAGAAAAATACTGTATGGCTTTATTTATATGTGGGATCTAAAAAATAGAATAAGTCAAATTATAGAAACAAAGAGCAGAATAATGATTGCCAGGGGAAGGTGAGGGAATTGGAGAGATGTTGGTCAAACTGGTCAAAAGGCCCAACGGGTACAAACTTCTGTTATAAGATGAGTAAGTTCTGAAGATCTAATGCACAGCGTGGTGACTGTAGTTACTAGTGTTGCCCTGTATACTTGAAATTAAATAAGAGAGTAGATCTTAAATGTTCTGACCAAAAAGAGAATAATAATAATTTTATAGTACCAGCAACTTGCAGTGTTTGGCACATAGTAAAAGTGAATTATATATGTAATTTTATATATGTATATATATGTAATTACATAAGTATATCTAATTCATTTATATATTGTAGCAGATTGCAATTTTGTGTTCATCAGACACACAATGGAGATGAGGCCTATAAAAATTTAATTAAGGTTAAATGAGGTCATAGGATGGGACCCTATTCTGATAGGATAATGTCCTTATAAGAAGGGATACCAGGCTGGCCGGTGTGGCTCAGTGGATTGAGCATCATCCCATGGACAGAGCTTCTGGTCTGATTCCTGGTCAAGGCACATGCCCAGGTCGCAGGCTTGATCCCCAGTAGGGGGCGTGCAGGAGGCAGCCAATCGATGTTTCTCTCTCACATCAATGTTTCTATCTCTCTCTCCCTTCCTCTCTCTTTCTAAAAATATCAATAAAACATATTTTAAAAAGAAGAAGAAGAAGGATACCAGAGAACCAAATAGCTCACACTCTCTGTGTTTACACAGGCACCTAGCAAAGTCCTCATGAGGACACAGCAAGAAGGTGCTGTCTGAAATCCAGGAAGAGAACTCTCATCAGATACCAAATTAGCAGAATCCTGATCTGGGATTTCAGCCTCCAGATCGTGAGAAAATAAATTTCTGTTTTTTAAGCCACCCAGTCTATGGTATTTTGTTATGTCAGCCTAAGTTGACTAAGATATATATGTATGTGTATATATATATCCAAATAAGCAAAAACAAACAAAACCACACACACACAAAAAAATAGTTGACTGCCTGGCAGGTTACTTTTATCCAAATGTGAGTATTGACCAACTGTTCAGAGCAATATATGTGTGTTATTCAATATCGTTTGCTATGTGAGCCCATTAACAGCCATGACCAGCTCTTCCATTCCATGTTTCACTCCCAAATACCAACACAGTTGAAGTTTAATGATAGATTTTTGGTCCACAATACACTAAATAAC